TCAGAGATTTATAAATACGGCGGGAAGACGTGAGAAATGGTTAGGATATGTGCAGCAGCAGCAGCCCTCCGCTGTGTAACAGAAGAGAGTGAGTACTATGTTGATAAAGACTTAGTGTATAAATAAAACAATGCTAGAAAAGTTGTTGTTACTGTACTTCATCAAGGGTGAAGCTCGTCTTTAAGCTCGTACGCTGAGGTCGATCTTATTCTTGACCTAACAATTGATAATTAAGAGATATTTTTCTTTGTTGTTGTTAAGGTGGGAAGATATCTCATACATTTATGCATCTCACACATGTGTTTATACTTGCCTGTGTGAGTTTATGCCAACATACCCTACAATATATTTCAAAGATTGATTTTATTTCTTAATTCTTGATTATGAAATATGCGGGAAGTTAATTATTGTAAACAGATTTCGTATCCTTTTCCTTGTATATACAATTCTCAGGCGTTAGGAACAACACTTGGTACTTCATAACTAAACCAATATGCTGACAATGTTCAAAGAAATTAATGTAAGTATATATAAAAATTATACCATCTAGTATAGTAACTTACTGAAGCGAATACCATCATGACAATAATGGTTGCAGCCCTACATACCTCTCTGACGTGTTCTCCCAGCAGTGTCCAGCTCACTCACTCTCCTATGCAGAGATATCCTGGGTTTGACGTCAGCCCAAAGGTCACCTTCGACTGACCTAGTTAGTTATGCCGTACTCATATTCCTCCAACACTGACACTAACATAATTGATTGGACTTCCTTTACCACTGGCCAGGATTTTTAACCTATCAGTTCTCTTTTGGGGGAGCTTTGTGTGTTAATGTCGTTAAGTTCTGGATTTATGTGTTGCTGTAAATTTTTCCCTCTGTAATATGAAAGATTTATTTTCAAACAAATCAAATATTATGCAAGAATTTAGAAGCTCTTAGACTTATTACAATTCATTTAATATATTATGTTTCTTAAATAAAACTCCCCATATGATAACTATTCTGAAACAGCCGATAAGACAACCTTTATTAGGAAACAAGAGTTATTGATTCTCTCTATTATCAATGATAATTTATTAAATTATTTATTATCAGAGATTAATCAATACTAAATGATAGTTGATACAAAATATATCATGCACAAGTGCTTATATATAAACAACTTTAGCATAGCTTTATGTACTGAAACTTTAAGATTTATGAGGAATCATTACAGAGCTCAAATAAAAGTGGACTTAGTTGATGAGAATAAACAGAAGGTTGCAACATTTTCATTTATAATTTTGACTGCATGTTGAAAAATCATCATTTTCGTGACATTTCAGGAAAGAATAATGAGACAGTAAAAAAAATGAGTTGTTGTTATATTAGTGAAAAATCGGCGTGTACTAAGCTGGAGGCCAGATGATTGGCTGCACACTGATGACCTTATTATTTTTTTTCACGAGGTGTAAATAAAAGACTGACTGTACTCGTATCACGAGCCTATGAGATGAAGCTGCCACCCGTTTACTACTATGTAAAATCTATGAAAAAAATACATATAGCCCAATTTCTTCACTCTTCCAATAATTTTGTTTTGCTCTTGTAATAATAATAATAATAATAATAATAATAATAATAATAATAATAAACGTGTGTGTGTGTGTGTGTCACTACCAATTTGTCTTTTTTGTAATATTGATTATTAATGCGAAATCGTGTAACATTTTTTTTTACTACCGTATCAACACGAGTTGGTCTGTTTTTTTTCTATTATGTTAAAGTTGGGCGACTTTCTTTTTTCTTTTTATACTAACTCCTTTCATATGGCGTTGCTGTTATCCTGTAATGTTGTTGCTATACTGTACTGTTCCTCTTATACTGTACTGTGATAACTTACATTGTAAATGCCTCAAGTCTTATTATACAGCCGCAATTCATTTCACATTTGAGTATTAAAAATATCACAACATCCTCCCTCACCACGCTGAATTACAGAGCGTTGGAAACACTCGACAAACTGACCTAGTGTGGAGCCTGTATATGTGAATGTTAAACAATATAATCCCATGACGCACCAGGCCACACAGGATATACGTATACCTTTGTCTCATTTGTGTTTGTTGGAAGTATTGTGCTTATGTAAGTGTGTGTACGTATGCAGGAATAATGTAGATAGTAGGCAGCTACCGAACAGGGAGGTACTACCGCCTGGGAAGATATTGGCAGCATAATGTGTTGTCTAATGGTAGACCCTGCTGCCATATGGCATCACGAAAATTGTGACCAAGTCCCAGGTTGCTGATCTGACTTTCTGCCTCATTTACACACAATTGTAGGGTCTCAATTGTTTCTATTACGTGACAAAACAACATACATATAGCGTTTCTCACTGATTTTTTCATTCATGCATTTCTTTGTATTTATTATTATCACAGTGTTGTTGTTATTATTATTACCATTAATATTTTATTTTTATTTTTATAATAAATTTTATTTACTATGAATTATTATTATTATTACATTTTCGCCCCCCGGACCCTGGTGTGGGTCAGTGACCTGTGCCCGGGTGGGCTAATCCCCGTAAAAAAAAAAAAAAAAAGTTGGTTACACTTGGTATCTAACAAACTCACAATGCGCTTGGACCTATATACCAAGGGATGTGTCCTTCTGAGGGTGTAGAGTCTACACCCTCAGAAGGACACATCCCACTGTAGAGAGTCTGTTTTCTGATCAGTGTCGCCTTGACTTTTGTTCTAAGCGAGTCCTTCTCAGTTATATTTCTTTTACATACAAGTTATTCGTAGTTACACAATAGATCGTTACTGCTAGGAAGAACACGACCATCTTATTTTATCAAGGCTGGAACATATTGTTTAATGACTAGCTGAGAATACTAATTTTAAACCATAATATTAATCACTGTGGTAAATATTTCACTCTGCTGTAGGAAACACTTTGCTCATCCCCATTTACTTATATAGTTTCTATTATGTATATATAATGATATGGAATGTTTGAGTAACTTCCAAGAAATTGTATTAGAAGACATTAAATGTTTTAGAGGCAATTATTTTAAGTTACCTTCATCTCACCTGCTCTCAGAGTATGTTATATCAGCTTAATAATTCTTCACTTTTCAAAATGATTCATTGTTATTATGACAACATGACAAGGAAGATTTTTGTGTGTGTGTGTGTGTGTGATAATCACCTGAACTATAACTGCTCCATTTGGGTCACATTCATACTTGTAATAATTCAGTACGTATTGACTGGTTTAATCTGTAACTTTCATCAGGTTTAATGTATGTGTCTGAATATGTTCGTTGCATGCTCGTTCCAGAGAACATGACATCGCTCAAGTGTTACCACGTATTGTACTATGTTTTAAGCCGATGTCAATCAAACTTGATTATTTTCAGCCACCATCAGCAGCCACCACCCTCCCTCACCCACATCTCCCCCTCACTTTATCCTTTGGGAATCGACGTTCGCAAAATTCCATCGGACACATCAAGTTGTTAGAAAACGCTGGTATATATATCACTACATGTCAGATATTTATTCAGAATTTACTGACTCGATTGGCGTTACAGTAAGAAGCGATTTGGAAATTACAGAATGAAATATGGAAATTGCATTATTGTCAAGAAATATAATCAGAAAATAATTTATGCAAACGCTTCTCTCCTTAAGTTTTTACAATAGTTAGTTTCAGTGTCTTGTCTCAACTAAAACACTAAATTGACCTTAATGAACTGAAAGATTATTATTCTAACCTGTTCTTACAATCTGATATCTGATTAACACCATCGATCTATTCACATTACACCAAACCAAGTATTAATCGTTACACTTCCCGGAATAATGCAGTGAGAGCTGATCTGGTTAAAGATGTCGTTTGAATAGTTGATGATCCTGGTGAGAAATTCTTAAAGGTTCATACGATAAGTTTTCCTCGTAACTAAATATGTAAGAATGTATTTAACTAAAGGACTGATATGGCGAAACTATTATACCAAGACTTTACCTTAACAAGAGTAATTTTCTTAACACTATAGAGGGAAGAAAATGATCTCGCATAGATCTTGTGATTCCAGACCTTAAAACACGTGACTCTTATTCATAGTAGAGCGACGCTGCTTACCGGTGATTAGTGGACAAAAAGATAAATACAAGATAGATAAAGACACGGACGAAGAGGACAGTAAAGTATAGGGTTGACACAACAGAGCTGATTGTCAGGTTTACAATGGTAGTAATAGCTGAGGCGGTGGTGGTAGTACTGTAGCGCCTCGCCACACCGGATACACACACACACACACACACACACAGAGGAAACAAGCACGCACCACACATTGCTGGTCCCGATCCTCATGGTCAACTAAGAGCTTATCGTGGTTTGATAATATATTTCAAGACCATTTGAAAGTTATCGGCTGCTATAGAACTGCATTGCAGTAATAAATTACATAAAAAGCCACTGTGAGATACACGTGTTTATCCAAAGGTTATATGCTGTTCACCACACTAAAAAAAATTAACATTGAATCTGGTTCTTCGTTCCAGTTTTGTGGTAAACAATTATGATCCTTATAGAGAGTCACTCGTATTAGTCAAACAGGATCTGTGCTAGTTTTTTAAGATAAATAAAAAAAACTGGTTAACATTGGTGCAAGCTGTAGTGTAGAATTAATATAGATACAGTGTAGGTTCTCTCTTGACATTATTTAAGTGATAACATCTTTTCGTTCATCCTTCATTTCTTTTTATCTTGGCTGTGTGTACATATATATATATATATATATAACCATCTGGCAAGCTTTGTCTTACCATATTGTGACTGATGAGTTGCTTATATGCTGTTCTTATACATATATACCTGTATAAAGTCGTAATGAATCTGAATAACTAATTACATCACGCATGAACTGGGGGATGCAAGGTCACGTCACAATGTCACAATAAGGGGTAAGCAAGACACGGACCATTTATAATAGGGGAGGAAGTGTGACGTCCCGGGATATATAAGGGGAGCTGACGGGTGTTGCCTGCCAGTTTTCCCTGAAACATCGAAGGTATTGTGTATCATTATTTTTTATGTGTTGTTTATAATCAAAATATTTTGCCCAAATGTATTAATATATTGTTCGCTGTATATTTGTATAGCGTTGAGTTACATGTATTCGGTAAATGATAAATTGTACTAATATAATACATTCAGAAAAAAATTAAAAGGTTATAAGGAAGAAGTACATCAGTAAAAGTGTTATTTGTCAATAGATTTTCCTTCGAGAAAGAAATGCGTTACCATGTACACAACTGAATGTTCTTAAGACTGGGAAGTGAGGATGGAAATCAGCTTTACGTGGAAGTCTTTCATTTCATTAGGACTATTTTCAGGACATATATCTGACTATGTCTAGTACTTCTCAGCCCTTAAAGTAGGTACAGTACATGACACCAAAAGCATAGAAACGTGTAGACTAATGTTTGTCTTTTGGTTATTTTGTTATATATACAGTTTATAAGGCTATATGCAGTATACCTGTATATATGGTAATATGTTTTCAGTTTTGCGTTTGTGTTTACTTCAGAATTGCCTTGATTTAAAACATGTTCAAATATTATAAAAAACTGATTCAATGTAGTACTGCCTAGACTAGACCAACTTCACTTCCTCGCTGTAAAGTTAGGTGTACAATATACCTTCCCACAGCTAGGTTGACTAACAGCCACGGGAGGAAGCGTTGTGTCCATTCAGCCGCCAAACTATATATAACCACTCGTGTCCTACAAGTTCTAAGATCTTAAATTCATTTTGTAATCATAGAGTAAAATAATAGGTTTAATTTTATTGTATATTAATTCTTTATTAGAGAGTTTTTTAGTCAGCGTCTCTCATTTACATATACTCGTGCGTGCATAGGTGCCAGCTCCAGTATAGGCTACATATCTAGGTGGTCGAAAATTTCCATGTTATGTTTCCAGCTCGACAATGAGGTAATCTCTATCAGTGACGAAATGTAAAGTTTGACGGAAATGAAAGAGGTGGGATGATTCGATACACTGAATACCTGCAGGAACTGTAATGATTGGGAGACGATGATGATGTGTGTGTAGTGAGTGCTATGATGTTTGTGTGTAGTGAGTGGTGGTAGTGGTGACTGTGTGAGTGTGTGTAGTGAGTGGTGGTAGTGATGACTGTGTGAGTGTGTGTAGTGAGTGGTGGTGATGACTGTGTGAGTGTGTGTAGTGAGTGGTGGTAGTGATGACTGTGTGAGAGTGTGTAGTGAGTGGTGGTGGTGGTGATGACTGTGTGAGTGCGCGTAGTGAGGGTGGTAGTGATGACTGTGTGAGTGTGTGTAGTGAGTGGTGGTAGTGGTGACTGAGAGAGTGTGTGTGTGTAGTGAGTGGTGGTGACTGTTGTGTGAGTGTGGTGATGACTGTGTGTAGGAGTGGTGGTGGTGGTGATGACTGTGTGAGTGTGTAGTGAGTGGTGGTGGTGGTGATGACTGTGTGAGTGCGTGTAGTGAGTGGTGGTGGTGGTGATGACTGTGTGAGTGCGTGTAGTGAGGGTGGTGGTGGTGATGACTGTGTGAGGCAGTGTAGTGATGACTGTGTGAGTGTGTGTAGTGAGTGGTGGTTATGACTGTGTGAGTGTGTGTAGTGAGTGGTGGTAGTGATGACTGTGTGAGTGCGTGTAGTGAGTGGTGGTGGTGATGACTGTGTGAGTGTGTGTAGTGAGTGGTGGTAGTGATGACTGTGTGAGAGTGTGTGTGTGTGTGTGTAGTGAGTGGTGGTGGTGATGATGACTGTGTGAGTCTGTGTGTAATGAGTGATGATAATGATGACTGTCTGTAATGAGTAGTGGTAATGGCTATGTGCACTTTATTTACCTGACTTAATAATAGGGGTGTTATCAACCTTTATCTGGCTGTGTACAGATGTGTCGCTCTACCTTCGTGCTGGTACTGGCCGGCTCCATCTATCTCGCTGCTGCAAAGGTGAGGTGTACCATCTAGCTTATTGTATACGTGGTTGTCAGAGTATTATTATTATTATTATTATTATTATTATTATTATTATTATTATTATTATTATTATTATTATTATTATCAGTAATAATAATAATAATAATAATAATAATAATAATAGTACAGTGCTGGCGATGGATAATGAATACAATTACAGAGAGCATTTATAGTAACAGTACCAATACATTAAAGTACAACTAATCCTTGAATGAAGGAGCATTAATGATACTATTTCATACCACTGCTTTGTTTTGTCTTGTCATTAAATCTAACGTTAGGTAGAATAGAACGACGCTAGCGATAAGAAAGGTAATTAAATAATATTTTATCTTTATGTAACAGAAGAAACAAAATATGTTATCTAAGTATACATTGCTGAGACGCAGTGACACGTACTGGATTATTACACTCTTCTCTTACCACTGTTTGTCTAAATTAAACTCATCCACCCAGGAAGTTTGGGAAAGTCTCTAATCTCTTCTTCCACGGGCTATACGTGTGTGTGCTGTGTGTGTGTGTGTGTGTGTGTGTGTGTGTGTGTGTGTGTGTGTGTGTGTGTGTGTGTGTGTGTGTGTGTGTGTGTGTGTGTGTGTGTGCGTGCGCTCTAGTGTTTCCCACTTTTCCTTCCACCATACCAACATAAAGTCAGTTTTCCTCCGTCATGAGTAACATTCATTTTTTCTTTGTGAGAGAGAGAGAGAGAGAGAGAGAGAGAGAGAGAGAGAGTGTTTGTAATCAGGGTGACTTATAAATAGATGCAGGCGAAATTAAGTACTTAAGCCACGTTAATGAAGGCGTGTTATGGATTTTCCAGAGTGATTTCCTCACTGGCTTACAAGACAAGTTCCACGAGACCGCTCCTTATACTGTCATCAAGGACGCTGAGGTGAGTCCTCTCCTAATTCCTGCTGCTATAATCTGTGGCTCTTGTCTCTCCCCGTGGTGTAGTGACAGTAAGGGTGAGTGACTGTGGGAACGTGGCAATTGACGGATGGTAACTGTATAAATGTGACAGCTTGTAGGGGAGTAACAGTGGGGAAGTGACTGTGAGAAAGTTATAACAAAGGGATAGTGACTGTCTGGAAGTGACAGAAGGAATAGATAAAATAGACTCTTGTATTACAGGAATCATATGAATATCGAAGATATTATATGATGTTCCTGCAATTACGGTGATGTTATCTGCAGATGTTGCTGTCAAAGTTTAAAAGACCTTAAAGCGAATTGTGCCATGCAAATAAAAAGTGGCCTCTGAGTTGACGCAACGATAATCGAAATGTCAGATACTTAATAAATGAAGAAAAAAATTGTCCTGTGTTGAAACTTTCACCTGTTTGACCGTGAAAGCAGAACAACTCAGATGGCGGCTCTGAGGAGTGACGTGGCACAGCCTGACATATATACGTCATTGAGTGAAAGGTGGATGAAATTTGTTCGACGGGTTGGATGATATAAGATTTGCCTTATCTAGCAAGACAAAAATGGTGTTTTTTCAGGCATTTTAATTTGGATGATCTTACGAAGAGTGAATAAAGGAATGGCTTGTTTGTTACGTGAGAGTTTGTGTTATAGAGAAAATTCTAAGATTGTGAGGGAGTAAATATGTGGTTTAATGAGACGGAAAAATTTACAGAAAATGCTTAAGGAAAATCACTAATTCATATAAAATGTAAAAACTATGTAATATTTGAAGGAATTTTAGAGTATTTTAAGAAATTCCTTTGCATCTCGCTCCCACCTCAGTCGGAACTGGCATTTACAGACTCGGAGTGTCCAGCAGAGAGGTGATCAGAGTGGTAGGGAGGTCTCCTGTGGCCATTTAATTAGGGACAAAGGGATAACAGTAGAAATATTAATAAGAAAATTTGAGTGTAGGGAAAAGCGGCCATTGGGGTGAATGAATGAAATGAAAAGTTGTTTCCTGGAGATCGGAAAATCTAGGAGAATTGGTACAGCCTGAAATCGTTTCAAGCGGAAGACTATGATCGCCAACCTTCAGACATGATGCTAGCACTTTGACTGACTGAATGATCGCGACAACTATTCAATAAGAGGTTACGTAATGTCCAAGCGACGGATTGGTATAATGATCATCCTCTTGGTGTTGTCAGACATACCAGCTGAGGGAATACGCGCCAGCCAATTGGGTGTGTACCCACATCATCAAGAAGCAGCCACGACCCAAGGACATGATGAAGATGTTTTGGTCTCTCTTCCAGTACATCACCGACGAGAATTCCCAGAGTAAGTCGCCAGCTTCAGACAGTGATGTGAGGTGTCTCGCTCATGTGGGGAGTCGTGACCAAAGTGGGTGTGGTGATAATAGTGATTGTGATGGTAACAGTGATTGATGGTTTATTAGTGATAATGATGGTAACAGTGGTTGCTAGTAACAGTGATTGTGATGGTAACAGTGATTGATGGTTTATTTGTGATAATGATGGTAACAGTGGTTGCTAGTAACAATGATTGTGATGGTAACAGTGATTGATGGTTTATTAGTGATAATGATGGTAACAGTGGTTGCTAATAACAGTGATTGTGATGGTAACAGTGATTGATGGTTTATTAGTGATAATGATGGTAACAGTGGTTGCTAGTAACAGTGATTGTGATGGTAACAGTGATTGATGGTTTATTAGTGATAATGATGGTAACAGTGGTTGCTAGTAACAGTGATTGTGATGGTAACAGTGATTGATGGTTTATTAGTGATAATGATGGTAACAGTGGTTGCTAGTAACAGTGATTGTGATGGTAACAGTGATTGATGGGTTATTAGTGATAATGATGGTAACAGTGGTTGCTAGTAACAATGATTGCGATGGTAACAGTGATTGATGGTTTATTTGTGATAATGATGGTAACAGTGGTTGCTAGTAACAGTGATTGTTATGGTTACAGTGATTGTGATGGTAACGGTGATTGGTGGTAACGGTGATTGGTGGTAACGGTGAATGTGATGGTAACAGTAATTGTGATGGTGTGACAGTGAATGTGGTGGTAACAGAGAGAAGTACACCACGTAATACCTGAACAATGTTATGTGTGCCAGGAATGTACAGTGATGCTACTGAAGAGAATGTTGAAATTTAATAACTCACAAGGGGAGGTAGGGAGGGAGGGAGGGAGGAGGTAATTATTTTTCTCTTACGTTTAGGGACATTTTCAGTATATACAATGTAAGTTGAAGCCTTTGATCACGCACTGCCGTAGACACATTAATAAGTGAGGAATTTTGAACACATTCCCCACGATGAACATTTCTTTAGGGAAAAAATGAAGGTAATGAATCCATGTAGCATATATTTTGAGCTTGAAGAGATCTGCCATCAAGTGAAATACGATGGATATATAACCTAAATAATGTACTTAGGCTGTAATAGCGAGCAGATGCATTTGATAAGGGTCCTATTAAAACTTTGCAACCCTAGTCTTTAAAATGGATTACATTAAAGGTGTTCTTGATTGCTGTTGAGATATTTAACTGACCTGACCTGACCAGAGCTTGACACACCGTCTTGTCTGTCAATAGATCTGGAAATGAACATGACGTCTCCTGTGTCCTTCTTCCACGAAACCTACGAAGAGACTATGATGCGCTGTCAATTGTGTTTCTATCTGCCTGCTGACTACCAAGAGGACCCGCCTGAACCCACACAAGACGACGTTTACATTGAAAACCGCCCGATGCATACACTGGCTGCCAGGTGCGAACATCAAGTCTCACCGGTGGGGATATTTTGTGAAAGATTAGCTCAAATGTCCCACGTGTATTTTTCTGTTTTGGTTAATTAAAACGATTATTAGTGTATAGTTCATTCCACCGACAGATATTCATAGTCTTTCCAGAGAACCTAACCTAACCTAACACTAACTTTCTTTTGATAGTTAAGATTACCACTGACTGGTATTACTGTCCCTGATAACCTAACCTAGACGCTAACATTGTAACAGAAAGTAGTCCTCGTGACAGTTAATCTCATGACAGCTAACACTCCTTCATGACTAGAAATGCTTCCTTATGACACCAAATACTCTCATGGCAGCAAACACCATCTCATGACAGTTAACGTTTCTCCATGATAATCAGAGTTACTTCATGACAGCTGAGGGTGCCCTTTGAAAGATAAAATTAATCCCCTGACAGTTAACCTTGCCTCGTGATAACTAACCCCTTGGCAGCTACCCTGTAATCTTGCTTCCTATAGCTAACATTAGCCCATGACAATTAACCATACCCCGTGACAGCTAACTTTGCTTCGTAACAGTTAACAAGATGTCTTCGGCAGGATGTTCGACGGGTACATGTTGGGAATGGCAGAGTTTGAACAACACAAACTGGCACTGCAGGCTGACCTCAAGTTGGCTGGTGATGAGGAGGGGATAGACTTCTCGCAGTTTTATGGGTACGTTCGCGTGTACCTGTCTTGTGGTGATTAGTCGATATATAGAGTGAATTCATGTTTATTGTATGGATATATTTATGTGAGTACAGCAGAAGGTAATCTCCTCTTCCTCCTCCTTCCTGGCAGGGCGGTATACGACCCGCCAATGAAGATGAAGAACAGACGCAACGAGGTGTGGTTTGTCGTCAACAAATAGAGTGCCGCCTCTGCCTCCCACTCTACTCATCTCTCACAAGTCCGCACCCGCATCTCGTAAACGTAAAACATAGACATACACAGACATTTATAAGTAATAACTTCCACACACACACACACACACACACGCAACTGCCTTCACAGAATTAACACAAAATTATGAACTATAGAGTAGAATCTACACTAAATTAAAAAGATTGAAAAAGAGTTTGATTGGCATTTATCATTTTAGTCTTTTGGAAGATACATTATATTAGAATTGGAAAATAAAATAATAAGCATTGCACTTTTATTTACGATTATCCTGAAGCAGTCAACACTTAATTATCTAAAATTATATATTTTCTAGACTTGAATCCCTTCTTTCTTCTGTGTGTGTGGGGGGTGATTTGGAAAATTTGTACCGAAATGAATAGCTGTGAAATATCTGAAAATCAATCATGCGAAATCGATCCATCAATCATCATTTATCTAATCCTATAACAAATTTCTACCGTGAAGTGTTAAAAAAAAAATGTTCATGTCTTGTAGACAATTGTTGATTTTTAGTAATTGGTGAACGAAATGAGGACAATTCATCGGATTGTTAGGAATTATTTAATTTAAACATAAATAGATAACTTTATCATGCTGTAAATATTGTTTTTCTTAGAATTTTGCAATATAAACCGGACGATTTACCGCCATTACACAAGGAGCAGCAGCAAACTCTATTCTATGTGGGATTTCGTAGCCATAATTTCGCGCCAGGCTCCCAGTACTGATCTAGGGAGACACTGCAGTCGTTGATGCTTAAAAGTATTCTTAGTCAGTATCTCCTTCATATGAAACCATGTCGCTCTGTCTTAGAGTCTTTATGGAACCTAATTTGAATTTACCAATATTTACCTTCATGTCCGTGCCACACTATTCTAGCTCTACTTAAGTCTCTCAGGAACACAGGATGCATCGTTGCCTTTCACTTAAGAAACATTATTCCACCCTAAGAGGAAGGCTACACACACTGAATAGTCCGTGCGTGTAAGTCTAATCTTGGAAGGTTAGTTATGTCACGTCTCTGCTCTACACAACTGCAACAAATTTCCTGTAACATAAATAAGTGTATAACATCTCTACAATGAACATGTAAATATAAATGAGCATATTACGATGATTTCTTTCAAAATGATGAACACATTCCAGGAGTCGAGAAGTAACCGCACAACACTTAGTGATTAGTACGTTTATTGAACTTTATATTAATTATAACCTACGATTATTGTCGATTTGAGCAAACTAAAGGTAAAGCTGTAAGTCAACCACTGTTGCAATCCCAGGGGAGAAACTGTCACCATACTCTCTCACCAAGAATGATTCCATCAAGTGCAGAAAACCATCAAGCAGGGACGCTTTTATCACGATACACCAGAATTAATATAACTTCAAAATTACGCGTGACATACCACACACCCAATAGCCCTGGGAGAGTCCTGTCAGGAAACACCTTTACTTTAAAACTGAAATTAATCCACTGGGTCATTGGAAAGTAGTGTACATGAATTTATCAAGTCGGGGGCTGCAACTTTTAAGTCACCTGTACTATCACTTGCCTAATAATACTAAGCAAGAGATTTTCATAATGCATTCTTACACCAAGATTGGAACCAATACATTGCGTGTATGGAAAATGGTCAGGTGGAAACCTTATTTATCAAAAAGGAACCGACTGACAGCATCGCTAACACTCCTGCCCTCACCTCCTAAACTTTATAACGAGGGTTTAAAAATAATTCACATGAGATTCAACTGCCCTCCAATAAAGGTGATTATTAATTACAGCTCACACTGTCAGAGAAGACTGGTGGTTATAGTGTCCTTAAGAGAAACGTGACCGTCACGGGAAGAAGTTCAAATTAATGAGCAGATCTATTAACCGATTTGCTTCATATATCTACCACTTTTTTGTGTCGTGTTTGAATTGTTTGTTTATGAAGTTCGGTATGCATAAAAAACATTGTGTTATTATGAGGTTACATTGTGGTTGTTGGCTCTGTTGTCCAAGGTGCTTTTAATTATTTGGGTCCTTTGTAACTCTTTTTTTATTTATTTTTCATACTTTTTTATTAACAGTGGTCCTACAAGGTTCACATCGTAGGTTCAGAGTTAGCACAGTGGTGTTTTTTGGAATTTTTGCGTGCGTGTGAGTGTAAAGAAGACGTTTATCGTGTGGGCTTGAAAATCAGTGTCATGTCAGCTTTAAATCTCTGAGGCGAGTTGAGAGTTACAAATTATCCCAACACATTTGATAATTATCGTTACGTCTACAATTTCAAAAGTTCTGAATTAGTACACAAGACTCGGTAAGCAGCATCATTCCTACGATAACCCCCCCCCCCCTGATAATACACCTACAAGTCTCAAGCATACCAAAATGCTTTCATCCACAAAACAAGAATAAACAGAAATGCATTATCACTCTCGATGTTTAGTTAAGGAGAGCAGGAATATACAATACATCGTCCGTAAGCATGTCCTCACTAGAGATATGGGGTGATGTAGGAGAGCCATGGGTTTTCCTCCCCATCACAACACCTCAACATAATCCATCAGGTTCCAACACACCATAAATCAGCTGTGTCACCCACCACCCTCACGCGAGCCACTCACACAAACACCCACCGCCGCCCACACACACACACACACACACTACCTCCACTTTAACACACTTAACGCAGCTGTAACTTCGTGCTGTAGATATAATATTTATACACAGTTCTTAAGTGTAACCGCGACATTTTTACATTAATTGGCAGCTGGACCATAGCATGTTTCAGCCTTATATCATAGGATATTTTGGAAAAAAATTGGATGCTGGAACTTTCGAAAATGAAGCTCAAAGAAGTATAGAACTAATACCATAATTTTATATATACAGTTAATCAGTATTTTTAAAAAACTCTTCCACTGAGTGATATTAACATTTCTTTCACCATACATCTAGTTACTTACGTGGGACGGAATATTGATCCATTCTATGTTACGTCTTGACCGCAGTTGCAAAAATCCTGGAGTCATTCCGTCCTCCTCAAACTGTCTTGTGTTTGATCTTATCTATAATTAACCTTCTCCTCGTTGAAAGTCACACTCCGTCATCAGCACCGTGATGAACCTCCTGGTCTGGCTTTGATGTTGCCAACCTCTCAAGCTTTTTACGGGATTAATCAATAGTAATTTTGTTTCTTAGTTAATGAATTCTGTTTTGTTGTTGTAAAGATGTCAGCAATAATCTTCCAGCTCCAGGAATAGTGCTATAATTACCAGTTACCAAAAATTATATGTCTTTTTCGTGTGATTTTTTGAGGAAGTGAAAGCGGTTATATTTTTACTCAAATTCGCACCTCTTATCAGTTACTTTCGTCCGAGCGTTATTAAGTAATTAAAGTCATCAATTAGTGGAATAGGTCCCTAGTTCTAATGAAGTTTTAGTCTCATTTAGAAACTTCCTACACACCTTAATGAATAACCTTCGTAATTTATCATACCCGAAAATTACCTTTAACTTGCACATTAACCTAACCTAACCTTACCTTGACTGGCATTATCTCTCTACCATTGTCTCGAATCTTCCCTTTGTTGGAGTGAACTAGAAGAAGAAACAGAAGAATTTACTTTATCTTTTCAAGCATGATGAAGATTGGGACACAAGTGCTGAGTGTTGATTGATTAAATTGACTAGGTGGTGGCATAAAAACATGAAATGTGGCATAAAATCATGATAGGCGGCATAAAAACATGAAGTGTGGCATACAAATATGAATGGTTGGCATAAAAACATGAGAGGTGGCATAAAAACATGAAAGGTGCCATAAAAAATTGAAAAGTGCCATAAAAACATGAAAGGTAGCATTAAAACACGAAAGGGGCATAATAACATGAATGGTGGCATAAAAACATGAAAGGTGGCATAAAAACATGAATGGTGGCATAAAAACATGAATGGTGGCATAAAAACATAAATGGTGGCATAAAAACAAAAAGAAATTCCAATGAAAAATATGGAAATTATAAAACTTGGATTCATCAGACACACTGAATAACATATAACAATAGCTTCTCCAAAGACAAGTCATGTTTGACGGGATTGTGTGTGTGTGAGTGTGTGTGATAATATTTCAAATAGCTTTTTATGAGATGTTTATTTCAGCATTTATCATTATTCAAAAGTGAGCCGTCGGAGCGTAAATGTATGTTTTGTAAATATTGCGGAGGTTAATACAGGTTTCCGCCATGACTTTTATAATATTTGACATGGCTGTTTGTTGTTTACGTCGATTAAAAACTACGTGATATGGGATTGGGATGAAGTGAGTCTGGGTTACATGTGTTCAGAAGGGAAGCTACCGTGCCTGCTGCATGTTTCTTACTGCACTACACTTGGTTTGTTGAATTTAGTGACCTGAGTTGAACAATTAAATAAATCAAAACAGTATTTTTTTTTTCAAAGACTAAAATAAATAGGGTTTTATGTTAGCCTTAGAAAAAGACTAAGGATGATAAAACAATGACATGAAGGAGTGACCAATGCTCATGTAGAGAGCCCATCACATGACTGTCAACTCAGAGGAAGTTCACCTTCTTCACAAGTGTATGTATGTGTGTTTGACCACGATGCGTTCACCTTTAAGTAACTTTATGTTATTGCAAAATTTTGTCGCAGTAAATACCTACGTCCTCTTATTGAGCATAACCGCGAGGATTTGTACACTGTGTATGTAGATTTCTCGCATATGATCTACATAATTGTTGCCACTAATAAAACATAAGGAAGAAAAGGTGCTGTAAAAACGCGGGTGTTTGTGTGTTATCGTGAAGGTCTATGTAAGTGAATCTCCATGACTCGTTAAAACACTTTGTCAGTTTTATTAAGCGAGGGATTGGAAGCTGCCGCAGCATTAATCGGGAGCTACCATCAGCTACACCCTTTATTATAACTAACGATCATATTCATTACTAAAAAAAAAAACTAATCTTATAAATAAAACTAATATCTCAGATCAATTTGCAATTCGTACATTTAACCCTTGTAGGCCAGAGGCTGTGGTGGATCAATTTATTTGTTCTATAATGTCACGGGTTAATGGTTGACCCTCTCACAGCTTATGGTCTTCAACAGGTACAAAGTGAATTAATAGATTCTCAGTGCAGAAACCGGAAGAATGTTGGAGTTGTCTATACTTACACGTTAACACACACGCACAGACACACCATCAGCAAGTTGTCTCGGAACAATCGCACTCCGTTATTT